AGGGCTGAAGAAGATGTGGGGGGCAGATATTTGTTTCTTCTCGAACATTTTCGGGGGCTCTCGTGGCCTAGAGGTTAAGGTGTTGGCCTCTCATTCAAAGGTCCCGGGTTCGAATCCGGGTAGCGACCGAAACATTTTCTTCTGTAAAATTGTCTCCTTTTACCTCCTTTCCTGCTCTCTAGCAATATTCTGTCGTCTGCTTTCATCTCCTCTTTCTGCCTCCACCACCTCACCTCTTTTGCCCCCTCCTCTGGGTTCCTGACTCTTTCTGCAGCCTTTCTATTGCTTTTCCTTGACTCCTTACAGCTGTCTTTCTGCCACACCCCTGATGTTCTGGTAGGAAAGATCTTCACCTAGCCTTCTCGGACAAGGGCAAAAAATCTCGGAGGGCCCGTGTGCAAGTTGCGCACGTAAAAGATCCCCTGGTGGTCTAAAATCGATAAGAGTAGACTTCGGCCGCCACCCAGGCAAAATTCAAAATTTCCTATCAACTAAAAGTATTAGGCGTGTCCCGCGCGCTCATATGACCTTATGTAGTTGCGAGCGCCGTAAAACCCTCTACTATAAAAAAAAAAATTTTCATGTACTTGAGGTTGTTGTTTTGATGGGGTTTTTTAAATGTTTGGTCAAATTTTGTAAATCCCAAGTGGAAGACACATATTCCACTTACTGAGATGTAACTTACTGTAGCCATTTAGCTGTCGTGGTGTGGCTTGCTCTTTCTTTACTATCGACCTGATCCTTCTTTTCTTTGTATTACACTGTCTAGAAATACCTCTAAACTTTTGGCACTCATTTGAATTATTTGCGACGCTCTTGCGGTAAAACTCGCACTGAAACGAAACTTAAATGAATATAACAGTAGCCATTTAAAATCGAGAGAGGGCAGTGACTTTTTGTACACCCGTTCTCAAAGATTGAGCAAAACCTTTAGTTAAAGATGACATGCAAAAGACCAATATCATTCGTCGTTGTGCCGTTGCTTCAAAGACAAATTTTGTCCGAGTTTTGGTTAGTCGGGCCCGTTATCAAGACCTGTCGATGAAGCCGTTTCAAACACGTGTCGGCATCACGTGACATGACTACGTGTGAGTAACACTAGTAACAGTGAGTTCCGCGCCTGTCGGGGGACCGTCGGTTGTTTGAGTCAATAAGTTTATACATAGGCCTACAGATCAATTGTCTTTTGGGACTTATTAGTGTGTGTGTGTGTGTGTTTGCGCGCGCGTGTGTGTGTTTGTGTGTATGTGTGTGTGTGTGTGTTTGTGTTTGGGGGGGGGGGAGGTTGAAAGGGTAACATTTTCAAAGACTTCGGAGTGCTTGGCCTACTTCTTCAGATTTAAAAAGGACATGAACCAAATTGTAGATTTGTTTGGAGCTGAGACCTGTGCAGGATGGTTGATGTCTAGTGTGTATAGGCGACCGAGATCATTGAATGAAAACGCACACTTATTGCATGGGTGACTAATAACCTACCTCCACCACCCCCCCAACAACTATGTGTTGGCTACTGGTATCTTCAAGGCTACTTGAGTTTCAGCATCACTGCAACTTGTGCTCCCCAGCCTTTCCAACGCTGACTCAAATGCATGCCCTTTTTCATTTTTCCCCCCCTCTACTTCCATCCATGACTTGCAATAAGTTTTATCTTACATTCTTTTTTTTTGTACCTTGGACATGAATTTGTGGCCCAACCCAGGATTTTTCTATTTTCTGAAATAGGCGTATATATAGGATAAAGGAAGTATGGAAATAAATACGTTCAAGCTGTAAATAATAAATATCTCACAAAAGGACACCCCACCTCAATCCATGAGCAAGAATGGATGTACAGTGTTGTTTTATGCTGTCATCGACTCAGTCTAGGACACACACACACACA